GACCCGCATCCAGATTCCCCAAACACAGATGCCAACTTGACTCACAAAATGTTACCAAAGCACACACTTTGACCCGGAAAGGTTGTACAGTCAGGGAACACGCTTTGAGGCCAATGCTCGAAATCGACAGCGTTTGACACGACAGTCTGTCACATTGCAAAATCCTAATGCAAATTCTTGAGTCCTAGAAGGCTTCGATGTTGACTTTTCCAGCATCCGTAGCTGTTCGGGCACTTTCCCCGCAGAAGTGAGATTTCAGGTTTGTGCCCTCTGCTTTATTATTTGGCTGCAGCCCCCAAGACACAAAGTTGAAACCAGAAGCAAAATAGTTTTTCCGGAATGGAGGCCCTTCCTACGGTCCCCCATCCCCACCCCATAAGCTGCATGGACAACCTACTCCAGTTCAAGGATGGTAACACAACACTTCAAAATGGAACCAAAACATACCAAGGCCAAACCAATTATTTGCAGTTGGCTGAGAAGTGGCAATAAGGACAAAATAAACTTGAGCCATTTCTACACCAAAGGTAGCGTGAGGCTTCCGGATATGATGGGAGGGTGCTTCCCCCCCCCGTCACCAGGGCTGATGGCATAGATGGGAATGCCATCTTGCTCTTCACCCCAGGCAGCAAAATGCCTTCGACCATTAACATTTCAATTTTTACAGGGAGTGGCCGAGCGAGCAGCCAGAAATATTCGCTGTTTTATTGCCTCTTGTTAAATATCGGGCACCAGAAACATTTCCAAATCACCCCTCGGATCCGTCTTGATCTCCTTCCTGGCTACCTTTAGCATTCCATACTTTTAAGGAATGTTAAATTTGGGTATCTAGCAATTCCCTGAGCCATCTGTGTACACAATATGACTCACTTCCCACCATCCACTGTGTTCCTGTAGCCAGCTCAAAGAAGCATTTCTCCTCTTTAAGATTCAAGACACAACATCCATGCACATTATCTGTTGGGAAAAGGTTCACAGAGGAGCCTGGCCAGTCCATAAATTCAGTGGTAAGGATTCTGGGACATCATCTTGTCTAGGATGCAATAGGACGTCCATGGAAAATAGTTGCTGTTAGAGATGGGACATTCTAACGACTCCACTTTCTTATGGCAGGGGATTGTTTTCTTTATTTTAGTAACAAACATGACTAACAATAATTCGATTCTCTGTTTCCATGCAGGTTCTCCATTCCCCATGCTGGGGAGACATCCATACATATTTAACTATGTGAATTTTCCTAAATTTGTAGACTGAGTACAAGTTTTTGAACGGTGTGCATTTTTAAGTGCACACACCGGTTGCCGAAAGCGTCAAGGGGTGCCTTTTTGAAATGCAGACATTTTTTTTCCTTTCCAAATTTTAGGGATATGGAGATGTTGGCAAGCATTTTTCCTTTATTCCACAAACTGCATCACAAACCTGGAAATGTATAAATTGCCAGTCACTTATGCCTGATTTGGTGGAGTGCAGAGTGGTTAATTGGGAGGAGAAACCCTAAAGATGCAAATTCCTGAGTGAAGTTTAGGAAGACATTGGGTAAACACATTGAAAGTTACAGTTTCCCAGAAAAGGCAGGCCAATTAGAAGTTAGGCTGAGCACGGATCATTCCCCAAAGCGAGACAGAATAATAAAATAACGAAATAAATAATAAAATAAAGATTAATAAGAATAGTTGTGGTAAGGGATATAGTTTGAGTGGGAAGTAAGAGATGGGCATCAAACCCTGGAGATCACATGGCAATAAACCAGAGATCCGCCTTTCTTGAGCTTAATCATAGAAAAGTGAAGTTGGAAGGGGCCCGCAAGGCCATCCAGTCCAACCCCCTGCTCAAGGCAGGAATATAGTCAAAGCAGATCTGCCAGGTGATTATCTAAGTTTTCCTTGAATGCCTCCAGGGTTGGAGCACTCACCAGCTCCCGAAGTCACTGGTTCCACTGTCAAACTGCTTTAAGGAACAGAAGTGTGTTGGTAAGGGCTTCAAATGAGAGGACAGACTGTAAAGTAAGGGCAGAGTGTCCCTGAGCACATGCAGAGTGTTGTGGAAATCTAACAAGCCCGGCCTGTGTGTGCAATCTTCAGAATCCATGTGACAGATATCAAAAACTTGTTTGACGTGGCTGGCTTTCAAGCATGCCACTTGCTGAAAGGGCCTGGATGGGGTGGGGGGCACACACAACACACACACACAGAGACACACATTCTCAGTATTTCATAGCTGCTGATGCAGGTAGGGGTAGATGAGGAAGAATAAGACCTCATTCCACTCTGGCAAGATGCTCGGGAGCTGATGGCACACCTCTTTGGATGTCTCCGTAGTTTGGGCAGGAGAGATGGAGACAGAGGGGAGGTGTCATCCTGCCATATTAGGGTACCCATTTGAAAGGGGGGGAATAGATGAAACTCTGCAGGGACTATAAACTTGCCTAGGACGTTCGTGTGTAGTGCCTGGAGGTCGGCACCATACTTCTCAGGGGACTTTGCAAAAGAAAAAAGGGGGCCCCAGAGACGTGCATGACGAGATATTATTATCCGGGGGTTCTGCAGAAGGGAAACCCTGGGATTCAGGAGAAAGGGTTCAAATCTGTCTGCTCTGAGTTCGTGGGTCGGGTGTCTCTCAGAAGGACAAGTGCCAGGGGTTGGGGGCCAAAGCTAAGTGGAAATGCAAAGAAGACACACACCCTCCCTGTAGGGTGTTGAGTCCCTCTTTATTTCACTTAAATTTTTAGGGTTATGGGGTGGGTGGTGCCAGGTATGAAATAAGGAAAGATCCAGAGGGTGGATCTGCATATTTGGGGGGGGAACAGAAGCACTGTTTTGACTATGAGCCTTCCAAAAACAAGACACTGTTTTTTTTTTTTAATCCACCCCCCTTGAATACAACACAGCTCGCAAAACGTAAATACAGGCAGAGGATGCCTAGGAAACGGAATCGGGTGGCGGCCAGACAGGTGTGTGTGTGTGCGTGTGTATTTGTGTGTGTGTGTGTGTGTGTGTGTGTGTGGATGCGCGTGTGCAGAAAAGGAACCGGGGAACACTCGGGCATTTGGGGTGAGAGGTTAAGAATTTGGGGAAGTGGAGGGCATCCAGACAGATGGGTGAGATCAGGGTGCCGATCCAGGGATGAGGCAGCGGCCTCGCCACCAGTGTGTGTGTGTGTGTGTGTGTGTGTGTGTGTGTGTGAGACAGAGAGAGAGAGAGAGAGAGAGAGAGATCTCTTACAGTTAGGAAATAATGGCAACACAGCCC